GGAGGAGAGGGACTGTCCAGGGAAGGAGAGAAGGGAGAAGGCTGAGACTTGAAGAGGGGATAGGTATCAAGTTGTTGAAGAGTATCGAGTGATTCTCCTGTTGTCTCACTTGCTCTCTCTGTCTGTCCCTTCAGATCGTACAGATCCCATTCTGCGGCCGCATCGAGTGTGAGGACTGGATCAAGAAAATCACTGCCAAGTAAGAGACCCATAGACACAGAGGCTCAGGCTTGAATCTGACCCAGCGCAGTGGGCAGTGTAGGGCAACTCTCTGTGGAAAACCGGGCTCAACTTGGTTCAGGGCTGTGGGCACATCTGCACTGTCACGCTGATTAGGAAACTGCTGGATGCCACACGAGTGTCCAGGAGTCTAAAACAGAAGCTCAAGTATGGGACAGTCTGAGTGAGTGTAGGGTAGATGATGAGATGACCTGACGTGCTTGAACAGAGTTTCTCCCTTCTTTCTCCCACCCCATCAGGGACCAGGATCTGGAGCCTGGAGCGCCCTCTATGGGAGCCAAGAGCCTGTGCATCCCCTTCCAGCCCCTGAGAGAGCTGCAGGCTGGCCAGCTGTGTGTGAGCGGACAGGAGCCTGCGCAGTATTACACCCTGTTTGGGCGCAGTTATTGAACCCCAGCAGTGCTGCCCTCTGACCCCAAGAATCACTGATAGTTCCTGCACAATCCAATGCATTCTTTACCAGCTCTCAACGCTGTCTCTCTCTCTCTCCCTCCCAGCCCTTAATGCTGTCTCTCTCTCACACACACACAGGCTCATGCCCAGTCGCTAGAGCTGTCTCTCTCTTTCTCACACAGGCTCATTTCAGCACCTAGAGCTGTCTCCCTCCCTCTCTCCCAGCACCTAGAGCTGTCTCTCTCTCTCTCACACACACACACTCATGCCCAGTCGCTAGAGCTGTCTCACACACACACATACACACCCATGCTCAGTCGCTAGAGCTGTCTCTCTTTCTCTCACACACACACACACTCATGCTCAGTTGCTAGAGCTGTCTCTCTTTCTCACACACACACACTCATGCCCAGTCACTAGAGCTGTCTCTCTCTTTCTCACACACACACACACTCATGCTCAGTCGCTAGAGCTGTCTCTCTTTCTCACACACACACTC